AGGAGCCAAAGAGGAAGCAGACCTTGAATTGGTGCATGCTTTGACAAAGACAAGCCGAGGGGCAGCGAGAGAAGAAAGGAGGTGCTTCTGATGGACAGACAGGTGGTTTAATAGTGCAACTTGTGAGAGAGACGGGTTACAACGAGGGAAGACTGCTTGGTAGAGTGTGACTCGTGGACATTGAGTGACAGAGAGACAGACAGTGGGTAGGAATCAACATCAGTCTGTGCATCAGGCTGTTAGCTGACCTTGCTGCACTCAGATACGGTTTTCACTGTCTGCCCATTGTTAATGGACTGCTTTAAAGTAGAAGGCAGAGATTAAAGAGCTATAGGAAGGAGGACTACAAGATATGATGTAAATGAAACACATCTTCACATGTCCTTAATATTTTAAGGCTGATCTTTATTTCTCACGTAAACACATTTTCCTTCTTTGTTTTAGGCTTGGCTGTCACTGGAAAATTTTACTTTTGTACCACACAATCTTATGCTTAGTTTCTCAGTCATAAACCTGATTTAAGCTGGTGTCTAAATACTGAGCAATGATCACTAGGTTATTTCATAAAGSTTGACTTTTAAGTGACATAGTGAGGTTTGCAGACATGTCCCAAACTTCATGGAAATAACTAGTTAGAAATCTGGGAGAAGTGACTGTGAAAGCAACTCCTGGCGTGAGGATAARCTACAACTGCAAAATAGATGATTCAGCAGGAACGTCTTGTATCACAGTAAATCATTAAGGACATAAAAAAGTGACTTGTTGCWTTATGCTGGCACAAGCACTGTTAGCTTTTTCAAAACATCAGTCGGAAAAGTCTGTTTCAAAGATTGCCGAGCTGCTGCTGCAGATTAGTCATGTTGTGAAACCGACCAGGGTTTCAGAACTCTTAAACAAGACGTGCGTGTCATACAGTGACCCAACGATGTTGAAAATGGTGTTCTGGACTCCACTCCAACAGCCCCCAAAAAAGTTTTAATCTTCATCGTGACAAGTTCTAACCTTTAAACAACTCTTTGAAAATGGAGCAGAAAATAGGAAAKGGCCAAGTTGTCCTCATTTTACCAAGATGTTCTCCCCAAGCCCTCTCTCTCTTTCACACACACTCAAGCACAGGCATAAACGCACTCAAACACACATACACACTCACACACACACACACACACACACACACACGCACACACACGCACACACAC